AGGCCACTTTAGATAGTTCTTTCTATTGAGATGATAAGAAGGTTGTAGGCTTTGGAGGTCATCTCGTCCTTTGTGCATCATAGACTCCTTAATTTGGTCCATGCTTTGGCATGGATTTTTAGAGTTTTAATCAGGTCGCTGGTTTGATCAGGTCGAACCGCTTAAATAGGAAGCCCTTTTGCATGAGTCGGGATGCAAAGCTTGCTCGGATCGGGCTTTGTCGGAGGTTTCTGCATGCAAGGGCTTCACCTAGCTTCGTCTTGAACTAGTTTCGTCCTGCTAGGCTTCGTCCTTCTGCGAGGGGCTTCTAGCTTCAGTTTTAGGCTTCGGGGTCCAGCGTTTTCAGAGTGGTTAGTCTGTCCAGTCCCGTCCCATATCAAAAGGTGAGAATAGGCCACGTTAGTCTGAGTTGGTAGAAGGGAACGGTAGGTAGCATATGGTTGCTCGACTTCGTCTGCTTGCGTTCGTTTGAGTTGGAAGCTGCGTCTGGCGGCGAATGGCAGCTCTGATCTCTTCTTCTTCTTCTTTTCCTCCTCCGACGATTCTACGGTCGTTCTTCAATTGGCAATGAAGGCCGTTGTCTCTGATACCATGTTAATTTGAGAGGTATGAGAGGGAAAGCTTAATTTTATTGCACACAAGTATCCCTATTTATAGATCTATATAAGATGTCTTAACAAAGAAACAAATAACCTCTAATTGATACATAATTGCCTCAATATGATCATTCCTAATTCAGCTACTCTTCTTTGGAAAGAAATCATTGGGAGAGTAATTCTGGCGGGATTGAGAGAGCTTCCCACGGATCATGCTTTGTGGCCGTGGGATTTCTTTTAGGTTGAACGGCTAGGATTTTAACATTAATAACGTTTATGGTCAAGTCATTAAGGATATATATGCAAGAGCTATTACATGTGTTCAAACACAAGGTGGTTTGACTAAGTATTTTTCTATTTCCATTGGATTACATCATGGATCAACTTTAAGCTCATATCTCTCTACTTTTTGCTGATGATATTCTTCTTGTGATAAGACTAGATAGGGAGTTAAAGGAAAATTTTAATTTTGGAGGTCAAACATAGAGTATAAATGTTTTGTTTGAGTAGATAAAAAATCAAATACATGAAGCATAATTTTAGTAGTATAGATGTTGTTGGGGGATTGTGACTTCATGCGATCAAGTCATTAAAAAGACTACGTGTTTTAGATATATCGTGTTTATTGTTTGAAGTGATGGTGAAATAAATGGGGATATTATTAGTAGAATTCAAGTTGGATGGTTGAAGTAGAGGATTCATTGGGCTTGTTGCGTGTTAGAAAAGTACCTCTCAAACTTATGGGAAAATTCTATAAGATGGTGGTGCGACCTACAATGCTTTATGGTGCACAATGTTTGCAGTTAAAAGCTAAGTATAAAATTAATTTAAGTGTTCCAGAGATGAGGATGCTTAGATAGATGAGTGGTGTCACTCTTAGAGATAGAATGTAAAACGAGTATATACGTGAAAAGGTTGGAGTAGCTCCAGTGGAAGATAAGATTAGAGACAGAGAGATGCCTTTGATTTTTTGGTCATATAAAATGTCGGCCTTTCAATGACCCAATTAGGAGAGTAGATGTATTAGATTGACTTATGTTAAGAAAGGTAAAGGTAGACCTAAAAAGACTTGGTTAGAAAATATTAGAAATGACTTTTTTTTATTAGATTTAAATGAGAATTTGACCCTTAATAGGACACAATGGAGAAAAAAGAATTCATGTAGCTGACCCTACGTAGTGCGATAAAGGCTTGATATTGTTGTTGTTCTTGATGATGATATTCATGAGTTTGATGAAGAGATTAGTGATTTTTAGAATGCTTTAATTTAATTGATGATTCTTTGAATGTCATGCAAATTCATCATATTGGTACTGCTAATTTTGAATTGGATTCGAAGAGGGTTTCAAGTTTTCAAATATATTTCAAATCAGGGGAGAAGCTTTGCTAGCTTGAAGTTGATAGTGGAGTTATTTGAATGTTGTCTCTAAGTTTGCTTTAGACCGCATGAATTTGAAATTTGAACTCTATCCAAAACCATATCAGGTAGCTTAGGTAGATAAAACTACTATATCTAGGTCTTAAAGATGTCTAAATCTGATTCATTTTGCTAGTTGTATTGATAAAATCTACTGTGTGAGCCTGCCCAGGGATTTTGCTCATGTTATTTGGGTAAACTTTGATTGTATGATTTAGATGTTACTTATTTTAGGTGTTTTAACTCGTATGCCTTAAAGGCTAGTGAGAAAGGGTATTTTTATAACTCTCAAAATCCTACGGTTAAATTTGAATTTGCACAGGATTCCATTACTCCCAATGAAGTAAAATGTCTTTGAATATTTCGAGTAAACATGCATTTGAGAAAAAGGTGCAATCATGAGGGTGTCACCTATTTGCTAGTAGTAGTGGAATTGAGTGATGTGATGCATGAAGTTACGACTTTGCATCATGATGCTAAGTATTTAATGATTTTAAAACTATTGGTTTTGATGAGCTTCATAATCAGTTGTTGTCATTGAGAGATACACAACAATATATTGATTTGCGTCCTGAATCATCATTACTTTATCTGTCTCAACATTGGATGGATTCAACTGAGTATGCTGAGCTTAAGAGATAAGTTGATGAGAGTTTTATTTGGAAAAGTGCAAACCCTTAGATTGTACCTGATTTCTTTACACCAAATAAAGATGATGCATATAAAAGTAGAGCTACTAATAAAATCACCTTTAAATTGAGGGAAAGTGATGAGCGGTAAATTATTTTTAAAACTAAAGTTGATATATATAAATGGATGGTGAAGCCCGGTAGATTAATCAATGCACCCTTTCATGATGATAATGATCCATGTTTTGCGATATTTCATTGAATGTTTTTTTTTTTTTAATTTTGATAATATAACATGACACCAGATTATCATTTCATGTTTTTAGGCGGTAGTTGAGATCAATGCTTTAAAAATCGGACCGGACCGACCGGTCCGACCGGTTCAACCGTGAACCGGTCCAAAGGCCGGTTCGGTTCAACCTGAAAACCGGCTTATCTTCAAACCGGCCGGTTTTGACCAAAACCGCCGGTTCAACCGGTGAACCGGCGAACCGGTCACGGTTCTCTTGAACCGGCCGGTTCAAGTTTTATATTTTTTAATATTTAAATTTTAAATAACTTAAATTTAAATATTAAAAAATATTTATAATTACATTTCAAATTTGAAATGCTTCAATTTTAAATTAAAAAATTCCAAACAAGCATTTCATTAAGGGAAAGTCTAGTACTACTTTTTAGCTCAAAAGTCAATATATAGTAAAAGCTTCACCAAGGGAAAGTCTCCCAAGTGATGTGGGACTAAAAAATCTAAAGCTCCTATATCTTTCTTCTTAACTTTTAAGTTTACAACATACACTATTCTATTTATTACGTCATCCGGTTCGACCCTGGTTCGACCGGTTGAACCGATCGAACCGTGAACCGCTCTCTCTAGCGGTTTGTTGCCCGGTCTGATTTTCACAACCTTGGTTGAGATATAGAAACTTGAATATTAATATGAAGAATGATTTTTTTGAAATTCTGTTGGAGATTTTTCTAGCCTCTCTATGTGAGGGGATGGATTAGCTATGGATTCAGATAAGGGTTAACATGATTAGTGATTGGCTAAAACCTTATTAATATACACAATATTCTAAATTTTTATGGTTTAAGGACTTTTATAAGATGTTTCATCAAATGATTTAATACAAATTATTTAAACAAGGAGGATTTAAGTGGACTAAATCTGTTTATCTACTTTTTTCTGGAAATTGTAGAAAGACTTACAAATGCACTTGTACTAAAGTTACCTAATTTTAATAAGTTGTTTGAGGTTGTGATTACACATCTTGAATAATTATTGGAACAGCGTTAAGTCAATAGGGTCATTCCATTGCATTCATTGGTGAGATATTGAATCTATGCTTAAGCACATTTGCACCGTAGAATCAACTTGCATGAGTTCATTCCTTAGTGTTAAGTCATAGAAAAACCACATATATGGGTGGGATTTGTTATTGCTTATGTCTGAATTTGCATATAATTCATCTATAATAGGTTTATTAGCACAAGTACATTTGAGATTGTTAGAGGATATCAACCTAAAAATCTTATATTTCATGGACTTTCATTTAGAATCTATGCCTAACACATCCGCATGATATACCACAGGGATATTTGTAGTAAATTGGCTTTTAATTATGATAATTATAATATTTTACTGATACGAGCAATTGTATGTGGAATTGAAGAATGATAGTTATAGTGAATTTAATTCTTGAAAGGTTTTCATTTGCACAACCATTTATATAAGTTATGCATGATTTGCATAGGGATATTTGCATTAAATTTTCTTTTAAGTATGATAATTATAATTTTTGTTGATGTGAATAATTGTGTGGAATGGAAGCCTTATAGTAATGGTAAATTTAAAACTTGAAAGATTTTCATATGAAAACTTTAAGAAATTGAACGCAAGTAAGGCAAGATCATTTAAATTTGGTCAAACACATTAGAAATAATGCCTATAAATTAGAAATTCAAGAAAATTTTGCTATAAATTTTATTTTGGTGCATTTGATTTGACTTTATTTTTTGAGCCTATGGCTAATTCCTTAAACTTTATTTTTAGCCTATGGCTAATTCCTTAAACTTTGCTTTCACTTGTTTTCTTGAAAGAAAGCGTGTTTTTGGATTAATTGGTAACTTGTGGCCCGTGAATCCTCAGTTTTTATTTGCATGAAAGGATACTATACACCGTATTAGCTACATTAGAAAACCCTAACCATAAGTTGTCTTGCATAAAAATCTTTCTCAGTTGTGCTTTTCTTATTTGTATTCACTGTGCTGCATGTATTTCTGTATTCTACTATATTACACTGGCATTCTGCATCATACGTTGTGCCTGCAACAACGCTAATGCGATAAATCATATGTCAGGTTGATATCAGATCTTGTAGTTGTCATTGTATCTGCAGCTTGTGGTGGAATTGCCTTTGCTTGTGCTGGACAGCCGGTTTGTGAGACTAGATGTCTTCTTTCTTATAGTTATTTTCATCAATAAGGAAGAAAAGTATATGCTTATTCTTCTTGAAGGAAAAGTAGTAAAAGTATGTGCTGAGCATATACGATTTATTGGTGCTCAGAAGAAAGCATACTTTTGTTTAGTATGGTGGTTCTTTAATGACAAAAAACTATTGCAGGTGATTACGGGATATTTACTTGCAGGTTCTCTCATTGGACCTGGAGGTCTGAGCTTTGTTAGCGAAATGGTTCAAGTATGGCCTCTTTTCTTTATTTGATACCATTGCCAATAACTATGTTCGATTTGTGGCTACTACTTATTTGGTGGATTTACTGCATATGCCAACGAAGGTGTAGTAAACACAACCAAATCATGAACTACGATTCAAGCCAACAAGGAATTAAGTCATACGTAGTTGAGTTGCCGTTAAAAGATTTTAGCATTGATATTTACGTTTTTTTGGCCTGATTTTTCTCTGTTGGGTTGAATTACCAATATGCTATTGTAGTTAGTCTAATGGATCCAGCATAGGGGATTGAGTTTCTTGGATAATGAATAGATGAGAGGGTATTAAGAGAAACGAAGAAAATGAGATTGAGGAGAGTAGCTTTAGATCTAGAGTTTCTTGGGTGAAAATGTGACACGAGTCCATGAAAACTTCAATAGAAATGCACTTTGGGGGGTACTATATGTGGTTTTATGAAAACCCAAATCACAAGACTTGTGAGGGAGAAGCTCTTGTTGAATAGTGTATCATAATCAAATATTTTGCATCTAAAGGGATGCATGTCTCTTTAGACTTTACAATTTAATTTTGCATGTATTTCTTCTTACCCCCAATGAGAACTCACAATCTATAATTCATTAACTGATGTAATACCGCATGCGAAGGAGCTTGTTAAGAAATTTAAGAACGATGGACAATGTAATCTCAATCGATAACTTATTGAAATAACAAGCAAATTCATTAAAGAACCTTAGTCTTTGACTTGCTTAGGCGAAGGAGTACAAGTAGATTAACCAAAACTCAAAGGTAACCAAAGATAGTAGCAATACCAAAAGCTATTAATCAACAATCCGCGATTTAATAATGAGAGTTTTCACCTTGGGGATTGATCACTCAACTACACTAGGCTTAGCGGAAGAAGGCCTTTAGCAAACCCGACGATGCCACGAGGACGGTAGCAACCACAACGGCCTTGATCCACGGGAAGGTTATCGGTGGCGAGGACGATGGACATGAACGACGGTCGATGCTCCAATTGTAGTTTGGATGTTGGCGGTCGATGACGCTTGCAAAGGTAGGAACCACTCCTTCCAAGTAATCTCCAACGGTGGCGTCGTCTTCAAATCCAACGTCAAAGAATAGTGACCGTAGGATATTCAAGCTTCCGTCGGCGTTGAACACAAGACCCCACTCAAACTCCGGATTCGCCATGCATGCTTGATGTTGGAGAATCCTGCAAAGGAGAAGAGATTTAAGTGAGGGTGAGAGGGAATCCTTGCGTTGGAAGAAGGGAAGATGAGGGAGGAGAGGCCGGCGGGATTTCCAAGGAGGAAGAGAAGGTTTCGGCCCAGGTGGGAGAGGGGGAAAATCTAGGTTAGATGAGGATGGCAAGAGATTTACTCAAATCTGAAATTAAATTCAGATTTTAGTAAATTAGGAGGGAGTTATTTGAAATTATTTTCAAATTTCAAATATAATTAAGGGAGATTGATGAGCCATTAATGGAGCCCATCAAAGAAGGGGGCTGGCGGTTTCCATAGAGGAGGGAGAGGAGTTTCTATTCAAAAACCTGAAATTATTCTCAGGTTTAAGAGGAATTAGGAGGGAAACAAAGGGATGGCCGGCGGTTGGGCTTTCTTTGGTGGAGGTGGAATTGAATGGGGTTCGATTTGGGGTTGACGAGAGAAGATTTATGTGATGGAAAATGAGGGGAAAACACAAAAGAAGATAGAACCACCTTAACCACGAGCCGCGGACTCTTCCAATGACTGGTGGGCCTTGCGAATGCTCCCCTTGAGCTCTCTCCCTTCTCAAGCTCTCATGCAAGAAGAAGTAGAAACAAACACAAATTTTTCATTTCAATAGTCATTCGTCTATTACAAAGCATGAGACCCCTATAAATAGGTCTTCAAACATAAGGAAAAATAAAAGTACTCAAATGCCCTTTGGGCTACAATAAGACAACACTCCCCATAGGGGTAAACTAGGAAATAAAAATGCCAACTAAATAAAACATAAAATACATCAAAAATTAAAGGCTCTGAATCGTAGCAGTCGATCGGCACTATCTCCGGCGATACACATGCTTGAATCTCTAATCGATGTCCACATCATTAACTTCTTTGGTAAAGGTTGGGGTGGCATCATATGTTCGATTGAGTTTGCCTCAACTCACAATAAAAAAATTGCAACTTTTGTTCATTTCCAACTTGACTTTAAATTGATTCACTACTCGGGTCAAGCCAGCATGGTTTGAAATGAGTCCATTTGGAGGAATATCAAAATCATTTTGAACTGGATTAAAATCAATTAGACTGGGGCTGTTTTCTTTTCTTATGGATTTTTTTCACGCATCATCAAATACAACCTAGCTGATACTCATTTGTTTAGAAGGAAAAACAAAAAATAAAAAATCACAGTTATTCATGATTTCCAATTTGTTTACATTCCTTACCTCAATAAGTGTCATTCTATAATACTTACATAGATAAAGAAATCTGGTTAAGCAAACATGCCATGATATTGGTGGATAAATGAAAGAAAAATGTAAATCATTTTGAGAGATATGTGGCCCACTCAAGTGATGTTTATAGCTTGACCCTCTTTCACATAAAGATAAAAATAGTGAAGTTTACAAACAAATAAAAAAAAGTTCAAAAACCCAAATCTCAGATTCGTTGTTCAAATTGATGATAGTCTCATAATTGATTAAAGCAACACAGAAAGGGCCATGTAGATGATTATACGTAGAAAGTAAAATATACTATTGATGGCAGTTGACCGTTGATGATTCCTGTGGGAACTCATTTCAGGTTGAGGAGAAGAATGTTGAGATAGGTTCCATAGAAAATAAAATACATAATGTAGCAATCTCTACTTGGAGTTTTGCAGAGAAGAATGGTGAGATTGGCTCCGGAGTGCCATGTTCCAAGAGTGGAGTACAATGGCATCAAAGCTGCCATTGGGATATTAAAACTAAAATTATTATCAATAAAAAAAAGCTGCCATTGTGATGAAAGTGGAGGGAAGGAGGGAGAGAGTTGCCATGCATGAGCATGAAAACAATTGTCATATATCAAAACAACCATCCTGATAGAAGGGATGATAGGAGGTAATCTTTATTTGACCAATAGAATATTTCAACCGTTTTAAGATTATTCAATCAAATTGGTGTTCTTGAATCAGCATGGACTAATAAAAAAACAACAACAAAAAAAGAAAGGTCAATTTTGAATCAATTCAAAACTCAACCGAGTTTCGAGCTTCGAACTAGTCCTAATAATGATTTTTTTAAGTTGATAATTACTTGACCTTGTAGAATAAAGTAAATTAGTTGGAAACCAAGTTGACAGTTATATCAAATCAAATTGAAACCAAGTTGACAGTTACATCAAATTAAATTGATACCAAGATGGATGGCATGTTTTAGAAACTATTAAAGACATTTAACTGGCTCTAAATATAGTTTACAAAACTTCATTTAATTTTTAAGGTTTTTTTGCCGATAATCATCCATTACTTGGTGATGCATTTTTTTGAGGAAGATTTTCTAATGAAGAGAATGCATTATCTTATGCAAAACTAGTAATTAGCTTGGAACTATTTTAACTGCTAGATCAAACCATACTAAATAGGTGATATCACCGGGATAGGAAAATACTATTTAGAAAAATAAAGCATGATTCTGTGTATATTATTACAATGCTTTGCATTTTGTTGTAATGTGAGAGAAAGGTCAAGTAACTCTACTTTTAAGAAGCCTACCTGTATTGCAAAGGTGTGTTGGAGGATCTTTATAGTCCAAACCTGTCTTGTAAATCAAGTAATAGATAAAAAATCTGAACTCATGACTGTGAAGAAAAGTTTTAAAAATATGCATTGCCTTCGATAACTTGAGTTGTGATGCTTTACTTGATTTGTTTGAAGTTTTTCTTATGTTGAAATTGGGATTTGTTGATTTTACTTTAGTTCACATGATAATGAAAAATTTAATAATATGCAGCTTTTTCTGTTGGGCTCATTTTGATTATCAAGTAAATTGGGATGAAAGTTACAGAAAATATTTGCCAGATTGTTGGTAATGAGATAATGTGCAAAAATAATGAAAATAAAAATCTTTTTTGGGGAAGGCTTCTCATACCTAGATGGATCTGGATGTTGGTAATTGTTTTGGTAAATGCATATCCCTTTTTAAAGTTTTTTAGTTAGTGATGCTATAATATGATATTATTCATCAAAAAGTTATTTATTTTCAATTTTTTGCTTTTGCTGTTGTTCTCTGTGTTAATGTATTTCAACGATCATGTCTAAAAACTGTTTGTTTTCTTTTTTAATTTTTTTTTTTTGTTTTAAATTTTATATTTGGAAAGTCTTTTATTTATGGTTAGTAGGTTATGTTTATTTTTTAATATTTATGGGCATTTGATTCGTTCTTCATTATAAATAGGGTGAATCTGTAGCGAACAAGACACCAAAATATTCTTCTTCTTTAACATGATATTAGATTAGTGCCATTCCTAACCTTAGTTGCTTCCATCCCTTCTTGATTGTTAGTTGACCTCCTAGCAACCTTTATAGTGATTGCAAACTCCTCTTACATTTACAGTACACACTTACATCCTCTCTTGTTCATTCCTACGCATATAAAGCTTGCACCGTGTAGCCCCACATCACACCTCACGGACTCCTATATTATGCCAACACTACATGCTTGATTCTTTACTGTCTTGCTTCCTTAACGCGTCTCACCAGATCCCACCGAAAACCTCTCCCTAGGCCATTCAGTGTATATTTCTGGTTACATTATTGTTGTAGAGAGAGAGAGGGTTTTGTTTTCCTACTTTTTTGCATCTATCATTTAACATAATTTCAAAACTCAAGATCACACTATTGATTATGATCTACAACTTCAATATGATAAATTGTCATCATTCATAACTTCATCTATCATAACAATAAAACAAATTAGGAAGTTAAAAAAAAGGAAGTACCTATCAACATTTATTGTTAAAGTAGATGTTATTACATCAAGAGGGATTACTAGGAGGTGTTGCAGTTCTGTTGAGGACTATTGATTGCTACACTTTTTGAGAGATAAAATATAGGTGGAGCTAATGGGATATGTTATTACCTTTTGTTTATTCTTCTTATCCAAATGCCTTTATTGTTTCATTCTTGCTTGGATTTTTTATTATGGAAATTGATCATAGGAATATTTAGATTTTCTTGAGCTTCATTCCTTCTATTAACATCCTTGAATGATTTTCCTGTCCACAGGATTATTATTTGTTTTATGTCCGTTTTAAGTGAAAAATTGGTCATTAGTGATTTTTCACAGGCAATTTGATGATATTAGTTTGGAACTATTTCAGTCAGAAGTGATCTATTTTATAATGCATTGCTCAATTTCAATATTATACTTCTGCCATTATATAGATATATGCTCTTTATAGTTGATGTTATTTCTTTTCTGCTGTAGGTTGAGACAGTGGCCCAATTTGGAGTTATTTTTCTTCTTTTTGCGCTAGGATTAGAGTTCTCGACCGCAAAGGTGACATTTGACATTTGATTCTCTTTTTAATATGATATCAAGTCAAAACATTTTCAATTATTGCAACAACAATCCATTCCAGCAGGATGTTAACATGGAATTAAATCAAAATGCAATTGCAGATCCGGGTGGTTCGTGCTGTGGCTATTCTTGGTGGCCTACTTCAAATTCTTCTCTTTATGTGCTTATGTGGGATCACTGCCTCGGTCCGTCCGAATGCTCTGATATTTTTTGGTCATACTTTTTCTAAATGTTATCTGTCCTAATGGAAAATAGTTTTATATTTCTCATGTTCTGTTAATATCACATATGCATGCCTGTTTATATGTTTATGTAACTTGGTAACATTACCGTAGCTGTGGTCATATAGTTAATGCCATTTCAAAAAAGCATATTGAATGGGGTAAGCTGTTGATTTTTGTCATACTTTTATCATTTGTTCTTCAAGTAATTTGCTGAATTTCATTATTGCACGGCTACTGTCTACAAGCCTCATATTAATTACTTGGGGTTGCTTAGGAATAAATTTTTTTGATAATTGAATCGCCTGTGCCTTATGGATGATACTTATCCAAACAAATATTGGAACTGTTAGAAATCAGAGGTTTGAGAAGAAAAGCTTAAGTTTATTACAATATTGTTGACCCTTCTCTGTAGAAAAAAAACAAAAAAATAAAAAAATAAAAAAATCGTACCTGCCCGCACGTCGTCGCCGCACGAGACAACGAGACGGCGTATATCCATGCTGAATTTTTGGAGCCCACAAATATTTAAATTGCATAATCGGGTATTGAGGCATTTTTCGTTCGTGAGGCGAGGCGTAAGCGTCAAGGCGTTTTGAGGCGTAAGCCTCAAAATCAAAAGATTGCGTAAACTTAAAATGATAAATTTTTTATATACTAACGAGTAAAAATATAAAACATAAAAAAGCACATGATATGAAGTGAAATCAAAATATCCCAATAATAAGACAATATGAAATATAGTTCAACTCAAATTCTATCTTTTCTACATCACAATATTCTTTTCATTAACATATAATTTCAAAAATAAATAGCAATGAATATAACAATATGTCGGGCAGCCAATGGTCCAAGGGGGTGCTGTCCCCTGGCGGGGTTTGACCCGCTCGGTCAGGTCGCGGGGTCAAGGGACAATGCCCTTATGAGGGTTTCCGGGGGCAGCGCCCTCATAACAAATTTTTATTGTAAGAGTAATTTTGATGTTCTGCATATTTTTAAAGTTCGTAAGTCGTTTGTATGGAAAGATATCAAGCAGTACTGAGAATGTACTTAGCGGTACCGAGCATGTACCTAGTAGTACCAAGCATTGTTGTACCGAATGGTACTGAGCATGTACCTAGCTATTCCGAGCGATACCAAGCAGTATCGAGACAGACCAATTGTGGAACCTTATTAGGTTAGGGTTTTTTTTATTTAATTTTAAGAGGCGGACGCCTCTAAAATATGAGGCGAGGCATGCCTTGAGGCGCGCCTCAATGAACATGAGGTGTACGCCTCAATGCCAGCTCTCATTGCATAGGCTTTGAGGCTTAAAAGTCTAAATTTGCGCTGAGGCGCATCTCTTATTGCACAATTTAAACCATGGTTTTTTATGCAACCTAGTCCCTCCCTATTTATAGATATTTTCAATTTGCATTCATAAAGAAACAAATAACTCTAAATTATTATAGAATAATGAGTAATACAATTTTTCCTAAATCAGCAGCCTAGCTATGGAAGGAATTAATATGATCCAGGAGGTCTTCCCACGGATTACTGTTCATAGCCGCGGGATCGTCTTTGGAACAAGAGGTTGAGATTTAACACTCCTCAAGCTGGGGAATATAGATCTGTCATTCCCAGCTTGACAATCATTCTGATAAAGGCAGAGTTGTCCAATCCTTTGGTAAGGATGTTTGCAAGTTGATCCTTCGATGATACATAATCGATACATACTAGACCACTGCCTAGTTTTTTTTTAATAAAATGTATGTTCACTTCTATGTGCTTGGTCTCATCATACTGGACTGGATTGTGGGCTATACTGATTGCTGATTTGTTATCACAATGTAGCTTCATGGGGTCATCCAACTTGATCTTTAAATCTTTTAGAATTATTTTGATCTACAATAACTCACATATTTCCAAGGCCATAGATCTATATTCTGCTCTGCACTAGATCTTGCCACCACAGTTTGTTTCTTGCTTCTCCATGTAACTAGGTTTCCTTTAACAAAAAAATGTGCATTATCTAGAGGTAGATCTTCTATTTACTGGTGATCCCGCATATTTAGCATCCGTGTATACTTCTTGGGTTATTCCACGATCTCTCTTAAAGAGAATTCCTCTTCCTGGGTTTCCTTTAAGGTAGTGCATTATCCTGTCTACCGCTTGCATGTGAACCTGGTTTGGATTCTGCATAAACTGACTGACCATGCTTACAGCAAATGCTATATCTGGTATAGTGTGGGAAATGTAGATCAATTTTCCTACAAGTCTCTAGTAGGCTCCTGTATCTGCATCTAGATCTTCTCTAGCTTCCCCCATTTTAACATTAGGTTCTACTGGTGTCGGTGCTGGTTTACAAGCTAGTTTACCTGTTTCTTTTAAAAGATCTTTGATGCATTTCTATTGTGAAATGAAGATTCTTTTGCTGGAGTGAGCTACTTCAAATCCGAGAAAGTATTTTAGTCTACCAAGTTTTTTGATGTCAAATTCCTTAGAAAGACTTTTCCTTAAACTTTATCCTCTTCGTTATTTCTAGTCAAGATAATATCATCCATAATAATATTGTTACTCCCCCCTGAGTCTGAGTGTTTAAAGAATAATGTATGATCCCTTTGACTTTGTTTATATCCATTAAGAAGCATGAATTTTGAGAATCTTCCGAATCAAGCCCCTGGGGATTGTTTGAGCCCATATAGAGTATTTTTTAATTTGCACACCTTGTTACCTTCAGATTTTTCCTTCTTTAAACCCTGGTGGTATTTCCATAAAAATCTCTTCTACTAGATTCCCCATGTCGGGATGTATTTTTCACATCCATTTGTTCCAGATACCAATTGTACTTAGCTGCTAGTGAGAGTAGTATTCTGACAATGTTCATCTTGGCTACAGGTGCAAAGGTTTCTTGATAGTCAATGTCATATGTTTGAGTGTACCCTTTTGCCACTAGACTTTCCTTATATCTTTCTAGTGTGCCATCAGCTTTATACTTTACGGAGAACACCCATTTGCGTCCAACCGATTTTTTCCCTGTCGGTAGATTGATGATCTCCCATGTTTTGCTCTTTTTTAGGGTCTGCATTTCATCTATCATGTAATTTTTCCAATTTTTATTAGATAAGGACTCAGAAATATCTTTAGGAATATATATATCTTTTATTGTAACCAAGAAATTTTTGTGTGAGGATGAGAAGTTGTTGAAGGATATAGAGTTGGTTATAGGGTATAAGCTTACCTTATTTCCAGGAGATAATACAGATTCTTGGATATGCTTTAGAGTATAAACTGAATTTATACGCCTGGAGTATTCCTTCTCAAATCTAATGACAACTTTAGTTTTTTTTCCCTATCTTGGTTTTCTGGTGGATTGGTTCGAGGTGGTGGAGGAAGGTCAATAGTGTTAGTTCATTTTCCTCATCTTCCTCAAGTTCAGTCTCCCCCTGAAGACGAGGCTTGAAAAAATAGTAATTTTGTTCATCAAAGGTAACATCAATAGAGACAAGGGTTTTTCTTGTAGGTGGATGATAACACTTGTAACCTTTTTGGGTTGCTAAATAACCAATAAAGATGCATTTGAGTGCTCTTGGATCTAGTTTTCCTCTATTTTGACTGTAAATATGAACGTAGGCTGTGCACCTAAAGATTTTTGATATAAGGTTATGATAGGTTCGAAATTCGGGGTAAAATGAGGATAAAATTTTCATTGGAGTTTTGAGTACAATGGTTGTTGAAGGTTGTCAGTTTATGAGATAAGTTGCAGTTAGGAGAGCTTCCCCCCAATAGGATTTGAGTATATTGTAGTGGAATAGAAAAGCTCAAGTGGAGCCTAGAAGGTGACAATTTTTTCTCTTTAGAACCTCATTTTGTTGTGGGGTGTGAATGCAAGAGGAGTCGTGGATGATCCCTTCACTTTGAAAGTAGGAGGAAAGGGTTTGGTTGAAATAGTTTTTGGCATTATCGGAGGGAAATATCCTTATTTTCACCCCGAATTGATTTTGGATCATGATATGAAAAATGGGAAGAATGGTGCTTACATCAGATTTATTTTTGAGGAAATAGATCCAATAGATTCTAGTGCAATCATCAATGAAAAATACAAACCATCAAGCTCCAAAGATATTGAGGATTTTTTAGGGTCCGCATGTATCACTGTAAATAAGGTAGAAATGAGTATCACATCTCTCATTTTTGTTTGGGAAAGGAAGTTCTTTTATGCTTGGCTAACTCACATGTTTCATAATGAAAATATTTATTTTCTAATTTCTAAAAAAGTTGTGGATACATATGTCTTAGGACATCAAAATATGGGTGTCCTAACCTATAGTGATGAAGCTAAATAATGGAATTCTTATCAACCAAGGATAACATAGTGCAACTTTTTTTAGATTTGTTTAGTTTTTTTGAGTAGTACAATCCAGCTTTCTCCTTAGATGTCCAATCTTCTTCCCCTATCTTTGGTCATGAAATAAGCAATTGGTAGGGTTAAATAATGCTTGATAATTATGATCATTGGTAAGTTTTTGTATTGAAATTAGATTTGTGGATAATTGAGGAATGTGGAGCACATTTTTTAGGGTGAGTGGGGGAGATAATGTTATGTCTCATTGGCCTGTTGCCGTGGTAAGAGAACCATCAACAGTGATGATTTTCTTATTGCTTAGGCAAGGAGCATAGTTGATGAAGTGGTTAGGTGAGTGGGTTATGTGGTTTGTGGCTCATGAGTTAATGATCCATAATTCCTTTAAATGATTTCTAGAGGCACTTAAACTAATAGAAATCGGAAAATTACCTGAGAGTGCGAGTGAGGAAGATGCATTTGATTTTTCAAGGGATGCCAGGAGTCATTTTAAGGGTTGTTTGGTATGCAGAATTAGGAGGGTAAAATAATTAACTTACATGCATTTCATAAATTAGGTCGTTTGGTTGGTTTTAAGCAGAACATATGTAATTCCTCCAAAGCATAAGCGGTGTATGTATTGCGACGGTCCCTTTGCGTGACTTCAAAACCTGCTCAAATTGAGCGGGTTACAAAATCACTCGCTGGTTCGCGTGGGGCAAAGCTTCCAACGAGTCGCATGGGGAAAAGCTTCCACCTGCGCCAGCCTCGTGAACGGGCTTTCCGCCGGCCTGGCCATCTTATACATCGGGTACCCGGCCACAAACGAAATCAACGAGATCCCCATTCCCACTGTCGGAATCCCTAATCCTCATCCCCATCCAACGTTGTCCTACACAGACACTACAACTGTCACCGCCAAAAGCATCGAAGCCCTTGTAGAGAAATAATACCAATTGAAGAATCTCCACGTTGTTTCCCGCTCTCTTTTGTCGGCTTCTCCGAATTGCTCGGCGCCGAAGGCGACCACGCAGGGCCTTATGCCTCCGGCCCCTACCGTGGTTAGGAGGAGAGAGAAGTATAGGACAGCAAGCTGCCATGTTGAAGCCTCCTTGCAATGGTGAGCGGCGCCGATGGAGCAAAGCGACGGGCGGTGGCGGCTTTAGCCATGGCATATGGTGCTCTTCTGTAAAGTAACTCACCATGTTTGCTGAGAACCCCACCACCGCTAACTTCTCCGAAACCTCATTTGCTACAGTTCAAACAACCATCTTTAGAAGAAGAAGAGGAAGAATAATAATAATGGTATATATTTTTTGATTAATTATCGAAGATGAAAGGCATGGTTTTGATCCGCTAACTTCTCCGAAACCTCATTAGCTTCAGGTGCGTTTCTCTTCATTTGAATGCTGCAATAAACAATTTAAATGAAATTTAATATAATTGATTAGCATTATAGCAAACAGGAACTCATCAATTTTAAGACCTTGTGTTGCCTACTTTAAAAATTTGTGCTTTGGCAATCCACATTTCTCAAATTTTTTGGTCCCGATATCCTGACTCAATATTTTCCCCTTTAATAGTATTTTAGCAGTGGTTATAGAAGGAACATAATCCAAAATTAATTATGATAAAAAACACTTTTACTTTACTCTAGATCTACCTAACCAAATAAGGGAAACAATTCTCCTGCGTTTATTTTACAGACAACCAAACAATCTCAAAGTATTCAGAATACATTACATTTACTTTACATTGCATTCTCTTTTCAGGCAACCAAACAGCCCCTTAGTGTATCAATATCTTCTTCATTGAGTTCTCCAAGGCCAGACTGTGCTTCTGGGTTGGGCTGTCTTGTAATATTGTTGGCATGCGATGTGCTCCTTATTTTAGTTTTTTGATTCGGCTCATTACTTGGGGTTTTCCATGTATTTTCCAACACACTTCCTTTGTGTGTCTTGACTTTTTGTAATAATTGCACCAAAGTGAGTCTTGTCTTTGATTTTTGAGGAATCTTTACCTTTCTCTTTCCATGATGATTCTTTGTTCATCACCATTGCTGAAATCTAACATCACTCCTCATCGGCTTTCTTCCGCGCGGATGAGAGAAATAGTTTCATTGAGTGATGATGTCTCCTCTTTGTCGAGGATCTAGACTCTAACCTAGTCAAATTTTGCATTTAGTCCTGCAATAAAATCATAAACTCTATCTTTTTTAATAAAGTTCTTTAGGATTGCAGCATCTTCCGAACATCTGGTTTCTATGCATCTATAATGATCAAGTTTTTGCCACATATTTTGTAGAAGGGCGGCATACTCCGTCATGGTCTTACTCCATTGCTTTGTGTTTCCAACTTTGACTTTAATTTCAAAGATTTGTGCCGCATCACGAGCTTTGGAGAAGGTCTGTCTTGCAATCCCATATGTCCTTTGTAGTGGAAAGGAACATTAATGTAGACAAAGGGGGGGTCAACACTAGTCCAAAATAAATCAAATTTTGGCTTCCCTTGAGTCTAGTAGTTCATCATATTTGAGCTAAACTTTTAGTTCATTTATGAGCTGGACTTTAGTTCATTTATTGAACTAAGGGTTAGCTCATTATGAGCTAACATTTTAGTTCATTTATTATCTTTTAAGTAAATGTTTTTAGGCTTTTTATGTTATAGTCTTTTGGGTTTCCAATGGGACTTTTGGAATCCCAAGTGTGGTGTTTAGTATTCCTATGTATGACCCCTTTGTTTCCACCAAGGTTTTAAGATTTTTATGTTTGCCTCTTGGGATCTCACGGCTGGACTCCTTCCGTGGCCGTGGCTCTTTGGTCCGTGCGGTTCCTTCGTTTCCCGTGGCTGTGGCTCTTTGGTCCGTGCGGTTCCTTCGTCTCCCGTGGCTGTCTCCTTGGTTCCTGGTTTGGGTGTTAAACCGTGAGCTTGGGGGGGAGATTCCTATGCTTTTTAATGCTTAGTTTTATGTGTTAGAATTTATGTATGTGTCCTTTTGTATTCCCCTTTCATACCTATAAATATGAGGGGTTATGTATTGTTTGAAATAGTTGAAGTGAATGATATTTGATTTTTGGAAAAAAATTTGTTAACCTGCGGGTTGCTTGGAAATCCTGCGGGCTCTTTCCACCCTTCTTTCTCATCCCCTCCGGAAATCCTGCGGGCTCTTTCCAACCTTTCTTCTCGGGCTTCTAATCTCTTTCGTCTCTCCGCAAGTGCCACTCCACCTGTATCCTTCTTCTCTAAGTGAAGCAACTTTAGGGTGTCGTCATTTTGTTTGCAAGAGTTGTTTGTATTGTTGTAAGTTTTCTTTTGTTTAGTTTAATTTGAAATGTAAGAGTTTGTTCGTCCTTTTTTCATCCCTTTAGTCTTTTCGTAAATAGAAGTCCGTCTTTCTTTTTTGCGATCGAAAGATATAGGTTCTCTATATCTTTTGCCCGCATCAAACATAAATGTATCGTTAATTTCTAGATTCATGGAATTTCACAACCATGAAATAATCATGGAGTCTGCTTCATCCCATGCCCCAGAAATAGGATCTCCTTGTCTTGGCCCCCTCCGAGAAGGTGGTGTATTTTTCCTTTCCCTTTTATATAAGTTTTCACAAATTGAGACCACTTTACGTAGTTCTCTCCGTTTAGACGATAAGAATAGGGCACGAGACTCCTCCAAGCCGGAGTCGTCGGGTCTTGTTCGGCTTCGTTGCTTCGCAGGAGACTTCTTAGGCTCCTTCATGGCTGTTCTTCTACGCTCCTTTGACGAGTTTCCCTTCCTGTGGATCAGTTTTGCTGCATCGCAGTAGGCTTCTTTGGCTCCTTCGTGGCTGTTCGACTACGCTCCTTCGGTGACTTTCCCTTCCTATTGGATCGGGATACTTTCTTAACAGGAGACTTCTTCGAGGGCAAAGCTTCGACTTTTCCTTCCTTGGCTCCAACTTCGTCGTCTGTCGGCGAGAAGAACTTGTCTTGTGGCTTCGTTGTCCGTCCGTGAGGAGCAAGCAACTTCCGTTTAGGGCAATGAAGGACTTTCCTCACAAAGTTTTCCTCTTCAATCCCTCCGACGCTTTGATACCATGCTAGAAATCAGAGGTTTGAGAAAAGTTAGTGTTTTTATGCAACCTATTCCCTATTTATAGATCTATACAAAGTGCATTGATAAAGAAACAAATAACTCTAAATTATTATAGAATAATGAGTAATACAATCCTTCTTAAATCAGCAGCCTAGCTATGGAAGGAATTAATGTGATCTAGACGGTCTTTCCATGGATTATTGTTCCTAGCTGTGGGATCGTCTTTGGAACGCGAGGCTGAGATTTAACTGGAACAAACTTGCATCTGAGATTGTATGAGTTTTTTTAAGCTATTATGTAAAGCATAAAGCTTGCTTTGTCAGGAAAATAAGAGGAATTTTGCTCGATAATTTTAGAAGTTGCTGCACCTTTTTGGTTCTATGTTGTTTGCGGTTCAAATGTGATAGTTTCTTTCCTTCTATGTATTCTATCTTCACATTTCCTATTTATTATTTATATTACATGGCTGTCAATATAAGAATGAGTTAATATTTTCTTTCTTTGCAAGCTAATTTTTTATTTGTCTGCATGCTTATTCACTGCAGTTGTGTGGGGGTAAAGCTACAGAAGGTGTATTTGTTGGTGCTTTTTTGTCGATGTCCTCAACAGCTGTGGTAATTATCCCTCATGTTTCTAGATTACTAGGAAGCTGTGATTAAATACTTAACTGTAAATATTATTTTATTAGATAAGGCGTTTACTTGGGTTTTTTATGTACTAAAACATTTCTGTTGGTTGCTCATCTTTGAGAAATTAGTGCGTGTGTTTCTGTTGGCTTCAGAAAAACGCACATTTTGTAGCACTATTTGTGAATTCTCTAATGAGATTTTTACCGCTTTTTTAATTTCGTAACTTTAAGCAGCTATAATATTTACTTAAATTTTCTGCTTAGGTTTTGAAATTTTTGATGGAAAGGAATAGTATCAATGCTCTCCATGGTCAAGTTACTGTAGGAACTCTTATTCTCCAGGTACTGTATCACATTTGGTGAAGATTCTCTGAAGTATGATAAATAACTGATCTTGCAATTTTGATTTGCCCCATATATTGTCTTCAGGATTGTGCTGTTGGTTTGCTATTTGCTCTGCTTCCTGTTCTACGTGGCACATCTGGCATTCTTCAAGGAGCAATATCAATGACTAAATCGTAAGTGAATAAGCTAACTTGATGTTCTATATGTGTTACTCGGCTTTTTTGCTCGACGAAAGCACAAGAAAGTTCCCTGGCCACCCTCTGACCAGATTGAAATGTCTCAACAGTAGGAAATTTTGTATGACTCCTTGCTCATGTTTCCTCAATGCTATGATTCAGACGGAACTTAGATTGTAACTTTGAATGATTGCTATATTATTTTAGTAGGCTTTGGTGTTTATGGCATTCCTCGTGAGTTTTGCTCTTCATATGATGTTAAGTTACTACGTAATTCTTATGTAACTATAAGCAGCAATATCGTAACAATGCTTCCGTAACCTTAAAACTTTTAATCTTTCTTACTTCCTATTAAAACATGAATGGTGCCTTATGTTTCACTTACTGCACTCTACATTTTTCTCTTTTTTCCAAATTTTGCTTTTCAATTGATGATTTCTAATTCTAGAAATGTCTCCTTTCTATTGGTTAATATGGTAAGCCAGAGAAAAGGTGTACGTTGAACGTGGAGTTCTTGAAAAAAATAAAAAAAAAAATTTCCTCTGTGCACGCGACGTGGTTCTATTTTGAAAAAAATGAATTAAACAGCTGTGCTGATGTCTAATAGAACCAAATCTTATTATCTTCTTGTAATAGTTTATTTTAAAGCAGATGTTCCATCATGAGATCACCTCGCTTACGCATGGTAGAAAGTGATTTTTTTAGAGCTGTCTCTTGTGTGCCAAGTGGTCTGACAAAGCTGTGGTGCTCCATGTGGCACTGGGTGGTTGTAAGATATAGGACCGTTATGAGGTGCGTTAAGCATTAATCGTAGGTCAATCAAACTCCATAAAAACAGAATATTGAATAACCTTTTATAGGAGGGATTTTCTTTATTTTGGCATAAATTTCATCCTTTACTTTTTATCTGACTGCAAAATTGAAGAAGTTTATAATTTCTTTTGTCCACGCAATTTTAGTCTAAAAATGATTTCTGCATGTTTTTGAAAATTTTATTTATGAATTTTTATTCTTGTCTAATGGTTGAATTTTTGAAATATCTTTTCACCAGTTTGGTCCTACTCTGCACTTTCTTGACAATTCTTTCTATTCTATCCCGGACATGTGTCCCTTGGTTTCTTAAGCTAATGATAACCCTTTCATCTCAGGTATGTTGTCTTTAACTGAGTATGAATTGTAAAGATCAGTTGAGTTTATATACATATTTATATATATTGCAGTTATTTCTAACCATTTTGCTCAAGTGCAGACCAATGAACTTTACCAATTGGCCTCAGTAGCTTTCTGTTTGCTTGTTGCTTGGGTTTGTACTCTGAACTCCTATCTTGATACTGATTCATTGTTGGAGCTGAAATTGTTGATTGTTTGTTGTTACTAATATTATGTGAGCATTTTCCTTAAAATTTTGGATGCATCATGTCAAAGTATAAGGGCATGTAAGGTTCAACACCACATATCGGACAGTGGGATTGCATTAACAGGTGTCAATTGACAGCTGTTTAAATTTTGCCTTTTTAAGATGACTGAGGATTATAACATTTATGTAACTAATTGACATAATTTTTTTATTGTTTTGTCTATAAAAGATATTTATGTTGAAATGAAATTATTTTTAATATATGTAAAAGGAGAATTTGATTTGCATGATTTTTAACTATTAACTTTAGTAGAATATATTTTTATTCCTATTGCTTTCATATTTGATAAAGTTCTAAGAGAAGTAATCTAAGGAATTCGAGAAAAGGTGTTAATAATATTTATATTCAAGTCATTAAGAATATATATACATGAGCTATTATTTGTGCTCAAACATGAGGTGGTTAGATCAAGTCTTGTTCTATTTCAGTTGGATTACATCAAGGATCAGCTTTAAGCCCCATATTTTTTTCCTGTAGTCATGTATGTTCTTGCCCAACATTTGCAAGAGGATGTATCCTGGTGTATGGTTTTTTTTTGTTGATATTCTTCTTATTGATAATACTAGAGAGGGAGTTGATGAAACACTTGAATTATGGAGTTCAACCTTAGAGTCTAAAGGTTTTCATTTGAGCAGATCACAAATTGAATACATGGAGTGTAATTTTAGTAGTAATAAAGCAAATGGTGGGATTGTGATATTGGGTGATCAATTCATTAAAAAGAGTGTACATTTTAAATATATCGGGTCTCTTGTTCAAAGCGATTGTGAAATACTGGGGATATAATTTGTATAATTCAAATTGGATGATTGAAGATGAGGAATTCATTCTGCCTGTTGTGTGATAGGTAAGTATATCTCAAATTTAAGAGAAATTTTTATAAGATGGTGGTGAGGCTTGCGATGTTTTATGGTGCATAATGTTGGCCATTAAAAGCAAAGCATAAAATTAAGTGTTGTAGAGATGAAGATGCATTGGTGGATGAGTGGCTTCACACCTAAGGATAGAATGCAAAACGAGTATATACGTGAGAAGGTTGGAGTAGCTCCAAAGGCAAAAATAAGATTAGATAGAGTAGCCTTAGATGATTTGGTCACATAAACATTGATTTTTCAATGATCCTTTTGGGAGAGTAGATGAGATCCGACCTATGTTAAAGAAAGGTAGTGGTAGACTTAAAAAGACTTGGTTAGAGTATTATAAATGAGATTTTTTTTAATTAAATTTAAATGAGACTCTTCATAGGATCAATGGAGAAAAATGATTCATATAACAAATTTTATGTAGTGGGATAAAAGGCTTGTTATTGTTGTTGTATTTTTTTAGTTATTATTGTACTTTAATACATTATGTTAATACTATGGTGTACTCGAAAATGATGCACTGTATGGTTTGAATATATAAAAAAGGTATGCAAAGGCCATTGTATTTAGGGGTGTCAATATTTGACATGATCCGAAAAATCGATTCGACCCGACCCAAAAATTTCGGGTTAGGGTCAGCACGTTTAAGAAACGGGTTGGGTTCAGGTTCAGGGTTTCGACCTGTTTTTAAAATTGGGTCGGGTTAACCCGAAAACTTGAAACCAACCCGGGTTGACCCGGGAATTGCGTCCGCATTTGTTAATGCCCAATCGTGTGAGTGCGACCAGCAATTGTGCGTGATCGCATTTGGCATCGTGTGATGAGTGCCTGTCCTGACCGCGTCTGAGTATCTGATGTCTCGTCACATGAGAGAGCTGTTCCATCGTCCGTGTTGGCGCCTGGTTGGGAAGTGGGAATGTAGTCCCGTGGAGGGCGAGCATTTGCCGACGTCGCCCAGCTCTGCCTCGACAATGAGCACAACCATCAGCTTCCTAGTTCCCACCCTCGCCTAACCCGCCTTGCCACTTAGCTGTTTGTCAGCCAATCACCACTCGCCAGTGTCGCCAGCCCGCAAATTCAAAATTGAGTGGGTCCGCAGGGCATGCCGGGTCAACCCGGCAACCCAAGCTGGTTGATTTCCTGACCCATTTGCACAAATAGGTCGGGTTAGGGTCAATCCATTTAAAGCTGGGTCAATTCGGGTTCGACCTGAACCCGACCCACGGACCCGTTTTGACACTAATTGTATTGGTGCCAAGGTGCAATGTCAAATATTCGAGGGTTCCCACACCATGAAGGAATGTGAGTAAAGAAGCTAGTTCATGAAATTAGAATTAAGATAAAAACTTAGAATATAAGTCCTCTTACTGACAAATTCATGGAATAATACATTTAATGATTCATGTAAAAATAAATATTCTATGTATTTAGGAAACTAAATGAGTTGGAGATTTGGTTAAGGAGATTTATAGTTTAGGATTTAAATTATGGTATTTAGGTATGATTTATACGAAAAATGATGTAGGTGTGATTATAGATAAGAGTTTGAAGCATAATGATGTAGAAATCAATAAAATTAGAGGTAAATTATAGCTTTAATTTTTTTTGTTAATGTTAAGTTATTAATATTTTAAGTGCATATGCTCCTCAAATATGTTGGAATGACATAGAAGAATTAATCCGAATGATCTCTCTTGAATAAAGTGTTTTTATTCGAGGAGATTTAAATGCACATATTGATAGAGTGGTAGAATATTTTAAAAATATTCATGGTGACTATAGATTTGGAGTGACTTATGAAGGTAGTAGGCCCATATTAGATTTTGCTCTTGCTTATGATTTTGTAATTGCTATATCTTATTTTAAAAAAGGTAGGAACATCTTATCACTTATAAGAATGAATATAGTAAAACTCAGATTGATTATTTTCTTATAAAAAATAAATCACATAAATTGCAAAGTTATTTCGAGTGAAAGTTATGTACCCAACATAACTTTATTAGTTTTGGACTTTAAGATGATGTTGCAAAACATGAAACAACAACAACAACATCAAGCCTTTATCCCACTACGTGGGGTCGGCTATCCTTTTTCTCCATTGTGTCATATTAAAAGTCAAATTCTCGTTTAAATCTAATAAAGAAAGGTCATTCCTAATATTTTCTAACCAAGTCTTTTTAGGTCTACCCCTACCTTTCTTAACCTCTGTTTAAAATTGCGCAATAAGAGGCGTGCCTTGAGGCGCGCCTCTGCGCAATTTGACCCAAAATCGCCTCGAGGCTTACGCAATTCCTCTCCTGGCAGAGGCGTATGCCTCACTTGGACTGAGGCGCGCCTCAGAGGCGCAATTGCGCAATTCTGGCAGAGGCGTACGCCTCATAGGAATGGGCCCACCCACTTAAAATGAAGAGTTTTTCTTCCTTAAACCCGCACGGCTCCCTTCCTGCACGCTGTGTTCACGAAACAGAGGGCTCCCGCACGCTTTGTTCGCGAAACAGAGGGCTCCCGCACCCGTTAGCTTCCCTTCCCGCCGCTTCTCTCGCCGGCGCCGCCTCTCTCCGGCGAAGTTGAGGTGTCCGACCGCCCTCTAGGAGTACTCCACATTCGATTTTAGGTATTTTTTTTTTAGTTTAGGGTTAGATTTTTCAAGTGTAAGTAAATCTATGATTTATGTTTTTTTGATTGTTTTTGTGTTTTTGAATTTTTGTTTTAGGAGACATGGTTAGAGGCAAAGAAAAGGCGAATACGTCATTGCGGCGTGACCCTTCTTGAAAATATAGTGTGCAAGTTGATGTAGGAGGGGCATTTATTTTCTTACTTTCCTCTATTTTCATATATCATTTAGATGTTTTTATTGTAAGATAGAATATTACTATTATTTACCTTCTAAAACCCTTACTTTTTCATTTACGCAATTCTGTGTCCGTGAGGCTTACGCCTCAAACCGCCTTGAGGCTTACGCCTCGCCTCACAGACGAAAACCGCCTCGAGGCTTAATTACACAATTTTAAACCTTGTTCTTAACACAAGTCAAATCTAATACCTCTACTCTCCTAACCGGGTCATCGGAAGGCCGCCTTTTTATGTGACCAAACCATCTAAGGCGACTCTCTCTAATCTTATCTTCTATTGGAGCTACTCTAACCTTTTAACGTATATGCTCATTTCGTATCCTATCTCTAAGGGTAAAGCCTAGATTAGATAGGGGCATTTAAAAAATGTTAAAAATATATTCTTTAGAGTAAAATTTATGGTCTCAAGATTTTGATTGTTTATGAGGAAGCTAATATTATGTGAAAAAAATAGTTATTGATATTAAAATGTTGAAAAGTATATGCTTACAATATTAAAAGGAAAGCTCTTAATAATAAAAATTAGGGATTTTTACATACATAACACTCAAAACTTTTGAAAATACATATTTAACACTCAAATTATTGTATTTACTGATATACCACATAAAACTCTCATTTTCTTCAATTCTACCACTCCCTTCAAGTCCGTCAGTAATCCACGTCGTCTTCGGTGCGAAGCAACTGCCGCGTAGAGGAATAATGGAATCAACTCAGGTGTGATTCTCCACCTTCCTTCTCTCTATATAGGAGTAACTGTTAATGTGATAGCGGGGTGAAAATTAATAGCGAAAATCACCTTTACCTGGCTGCCATCGGTTCTGCCTCTGGTGAGGCATTTTTGAATATGCATTCTTCTGTTCTGCTTATTTTTTCAACCCTATCCCAAACAACACAGAAGTTCATATCCCATTATAATGCTCATGTTTGTTGACTGGGGTGTAGCATTCATCCCTCGACATCCTTTTATCCTTAAAATTTTCCCAATTTTATTTTGCTTTGGCATACAAGTGATACAATCTGTTATGCTTGCAATGGATTGCATGGTATCAAAATGAACAAATAGAAGAGGGTAGCAGTGAAGACGCTCGCGACGAAACTTCTCCATAGAACCCTAGAGCAAGTTCCGCACACGGACAGCTCTCGCGATGAAAGACGCTCGCGACGCGACAGGTCAGGCATTTCGCGGCTCCACATTGCCGGAGACATCTCCATGGCCGCAGTTGCTTCGCACGAATGTACGGAAGACGACGTTAGGCGGGATTTTTAACGGGCTTGAACGGAGTGGTAGAATTGAGAAAAAGGAGGGTTTTAAGTGGTATATCAGTAAATACAATAATTTGAGTGTTGAATATGTAATTTCATAAGTTTTAAGTGTTATGTATGTAAAAATCCCTAAAAATTATTGGTGGTAAAATCAAAATGTGTAATAAAATATTAAAAATAAGAAACTTTGTTATAAAAATTGGTTTGGATGTAAAAACTCAAAAATTGGGAAGGATGAAAGAAATCAATATGCAATGTAAAAAAATTTAGCTTTTATTGATTTATGTAATATATTAGATAATAAGGAGGTTGAAAGATGTCTGTATAAGTTCATCAAGAAAAGAGATAGGAGAAGGATCTAATTCTAGTGAAGTGCATTAAAGATGAAAATCAAAAAGTGTTTTTTTAGAAGAAAATATTCAACATAGGTTAACCTTAGTGCTTATGGAGGTTAATCTCAGTGTTTAAAAGTTTTTGTTTGAGTGGATCTAAAACCAAATACACTGTAATTTTAGTGGTAATAGATCTAGTGGTGGGATTGTGACATTAGGTGATCAATTCATTAAAAAGAGTACACATTTTAGATATCTCGAGTCTATTGTTCAAAGAGATGGTAAAATAGATAGGGATATTATTAGTAGAATTCAAGTTAGGTGGTTGAAATAGAGGAATGCATCGAGCTTGTTATGTGATATAGAAGTACACCTCAAACTTAAGAGAAATTTTTATAAGATGGTTGTGAGACATGCAATGTTGGTGTAGAATGTTGACCATTAAAAGATAAATATTAAGTTTAGTGCTGCATAAATGAGGATGCTCAGGTGGCTTTACATAGAGACAGAATGCAAAACGAATATATACATGAAATGGTTGGAGTAGCTCCAGTGGTAGATATTAAATCTCTGCCCTCAGTTCCCTCATAGGTCCAACGACTACAAAGAATGATCCGTGGGAAGCCTTCTAGAAACACATTGAGTACTTTCATAGCTAGACATCTGATTTAGGAAGAATTTTATTTCAGCAATTATTAATTATTTTATAGTTATTTGTTTCTTCATTAGACATCTTGTATAGATCTATAAATAATGAATATATTGTATAATAAAGTAAGCTTTTTCCTCTCAAATTCCTAGTTTTAACAGTAGATAAAATTAGAGAGACTCGCCTTAAATGGTTTGCTCACATAAAATGTCGGCCTTCCGATTAATGGGTTAGGAGAGTAGATGAATTAGATCTTACCTATGTTAAGAAAGGTAGTTATACCCAAAAAAAAAAAGAAAAAAAAGACTAAGTTTGTAGTTATATCTAAAAAAAGAAAAAGAAGACTAAGTTTGAAAGTATTAGAGATGGCCTTTTTTTATTAAACTTAAATGAGAATTTGACTCATAATAGATGACACAATTGTGAAAAAGGATTCATGTAGCCAACCCCACATTGTGTGATAAAGGCTTAATATAGTTGTTGTACCAGTGGGTAAAGGCTTAATGTTGTTGTTGTACCTTCATATTTAATTTCAAATTTTCATTATGATTTACAAGAAGTTTATTTTTATATATATTTAAAATTATATATAAGATGACATGCCCAATTTATATCTATCTTATATTTTCTGGCATTTATCTGTGATTATTGCTCGTGATGTTATGTTTCTGTACGTAAAAGCTTGGGATTCTATACCTTCTGCGTTGTTTTTATTTACTCTGATTATCATCTCCATTGGAGAGAATTGTTTGACTTGACTAGACTGTTGTTCAAAATAATTGGTTTTTGGATATTGCGCTGGGAAAACAAAATCACTGTTATTCAAATAAAGAAAAATATCACCCAATGTGCCCTTCGAATTCTATGCCGTGAATTCCTTCTATCAACTTTTATTCACTCCATTGGATAGAAGTGTTTGACTAGAATGTCGTTCAAAATAATTGCTTTGTATGTATTGAGATTGGAAACTTGATCACTGACATCAAAAAAAGAAAAAAACTTGATCACTGACATTGAAAAAAGAAAACGTTACCTTTTTCGGTGTTCTGCTATTGTCTAAATGCTTTCTTTTACTTGAGCGGCATGGGATGATTATTGAGCTGGTAAAATTTAAATAATGAGCAGTTTGGTGATCTTGAGTTGTAATGAAAACTGCATATATAATTGAGAAATCTTTATATTATATTGAAAAAGATCATTAGAATCATGTTGATGTAAATCTGTAATCTGAAAGTAATTTTTTTCCAATCATGTGTATCAGTATTTATATTTGCTTAATTTTGAAGATTTTAGTACATTTTCTAACTTATCTTTTATCTCTGCCCGTAAACTTTAGTGATTGTCAATCTAGTTCTGCCTAGTGCTTATTTTTCTATTTTTTTAATCACGTCAATGAAATTGCGTACATTTTGTATCTCTGTTGTTTATTTGTTTATGCCTATAACCAATGATTTTACACTGCTGTGAGAAAGTTTAAAATTGGTTAAGTACTTATCATTTTTTATTTCACGTTTAACTATCTTTGCAGTGTAGTGATAAATTGGGGCTTAGCCTTGAACTTGGTTCGTTTGCTGCGGGGGTGATGATTTCAACAACTGATCTTGCACAGCATACACTTGAGCAAGTGGGTTTTTCTTAATCTTCAATAAATTGTTAAGGATTCCTTAGGAGTTAAAATTTCTGAAAGCAATAATACTGATTCTTATGTGTTTAATTTTTTTTTTTTTTTGTGAACTTGAATTATAATTTTTATATTAAAAATATGGGCATTGAAATCAGGATTAACATTTTTGTTCTATGTTGTGTTAACTCTGCACACTTTGACATTATTTTGAGTGTTTGAAAGTTTTGCTTGATTAAACTCTCATTTCTGTTCTTTCATATGTTCCCAACACTTAGGTCATTGATTATGCTTTTTCATCTTCCACCACATATTTAGAGAGATAAATGGGAAAAGACACCCCTATTTTGATTAGTAATAGATGTGTGTTTGGAACACCGGATTTTGGGAAACTACATACTGAATTATTTTATTAGCGATGAGATGTATTATGCTCTATTCATGGAGGACGTTTTGGTTTCTGATTGACAACTGCGAATGCTATTCCCCTAGTTATATAATCCACACTAAAATATTGCTGATTTATGACGAAGCCCCAAGGGACTGTTCGGTAGGTTGCTAATATTAGGAATGTATACTAAAAGGTTGTATGAGTTTAGATTTTTTGGTGCTTGGTGTAAGTAGATGCAGAGTGACTTTGAAATACCTCCAAAGGCATTTTTTAATTGCAAAAGAAATTCACCCAAATCAGGTGATTCTCTTTTATTATGTTTTTATCCCTTGCATTATGAGTTCTAAATTAAATTTTTGGAATTACTTAGAAGAATTATTTCAAAAGATACCTCTAGAAGAAAGAGTTTTTATTGGAGGAGATTTAAATGGACATGTTGGTAGAGAGGTAGATAATTTTAAAAGCATTCATGGTGGCTATGATTTTGGAACAACAAATGAAGGTGGCAAGACGATATTAGATATTTGTTTAGCTTATGATTTTTCAATTGCTAATACCTTATTTAAGAAATGGAATGAGCATCTCATCACTTATAAAAATGGATATAGTACAACTCCGATTGACTATTTTCTTATAAGAAAATTAGATCGTTTAGATTGCAAACATTGTAAGTTATTCCGAGTGAAAATTTATGTATCCAACATCTATTATTAGTTTTGGACTTTAAGATAAATGGGCATATAATAAAAAATAAAGTAAAACGATATTCTAAAATTAGATGGGGGCATTTAAAGAATATTAACAAAAATATTTTTGAGAGTAAGATTTTAGATCTTAAGATTTTATCTGTGCATGAGGATGCTAATGTTATGTGGGAAAAAATGGCTAATGATATTAATAATATTGCAAAAGATGTGCTTGGAGTATCAAAGGGAAAAACTCCTAATAGTAAAAATAGTTGGCGGTGGAATCCATATGTGCAAGAAAAGATTATGAATAAGAAAATTTGTTATCAAAAGTGGTTTAATTTTAAAAATTTTGATGATTGGGAAAGATATAAAGAGGCTCGTAAGGAATATAAAAAAGCAATATGTGATGCAAAGACCTTAGCTTTTAGTGATTTATATAATAGATTAGATACTAAGAAGGGAAAAAGATATATGTAGAAGTTAGCCAAGCAAAGAGATATATGTATTAAGGATGAAGATCAAAAAATACTTTTCTTAGAAGATATTCAACAAAAGGTGGATGAGATATTTTGCTATACTTTTTAATGAAAATTGTGAAAATAAGATTGACTATAGTGACCTTAGCCCCTAAATGTAAATAAAAGTTTTTGTTTTTATCGGCGTATTAATAAAACTAAAGTTAAAGAGGATTTAAAGAAAATGAACGGTGGAAAAGCTGTTGGACCTGATAATATTTCAATAGAGGTGTGGAAATGCTTAAGATGTGAAGGAATTTCTTGGCTTACTAAACTTTTTAGTACTATTTTGAAGACTAAAAAGATGCCAGATGAGTGGAGAATGAGTGTGTTAATTCCTATTTTTAAGAATAAAGGTGATGCACAAGATTGTGCGAATTATAGAGGAATTAAGTTAATGTGTCATACTTGAAAACTATGGGAGCGAGTTATGGAGCATAGGTTGCGGCGTGATACTAATGTTTCTCAAAATTAATTTGGATTCATGCCGGGTAGGTCGACTATGGAAGCCATACATTTATTAAGAGGTTTGATGGAGAAATATAGAGAAAATAAGGAGGATCTACATATGATATTTATTGATTTGGAAAAAGCATATGATAAAGTTCCAAGAGAAGTGCTATGGAGAGTTCTTGAAAAGAAAGGAGTTAATAATGCTTATATTCAAATCATTAAAGATATGTATGCAGGAGCTATTACTTGTGTTCAAACACAAGGTGGTTTGACCAAGTATTTCCCTATTTCGGTTTGTGTTACATCAAGGATCAGCCTTAAGCCCATATCTTTTTGCTTTAGTCATTGATATTCTCACTAGACATTTGCAAGAGGATGTACCTTGGTGTATGCTTTTTGCTGATGATATTCTTCTTGTTGATAAGACTAGAGAGGGAGTTGAAAGTAAACTTGAATTATGGAGGTCAATATTAGAGACTAAATGTTTTCTCTTGAGTAGATCTAAAACGGAATATATGGAGTATAATTTTAGTAGTAATAGACCTAGTGAGGGGATTGTGACTTTGGGCGATCATGTCATTAATAAGAGTACACGTTTTAGATATCTTGGATCTATTGTTCAGAGTGATGGTGAAATAGATGGGGATATTATCAACAGAATTCAAGTTGGATGGTTGAAGTGGAGGAATGCATTGGGCTTGTTATGTAATAGAATAGTACCCCTCAAACCTAAAGGAAAATTCTATAAGATGGTAGTGAGGTCTGCAATGCTTTATGGTGCCGAATGTTGGCCATTAAAAGAGAAGCATAATACTAAGTTAAGTGTGGCAGAGATGAGGATGCTCAGGTGTTTGAGTGACTTTACCCTTGGAGATATGATACGAAATGAGCATATACGTGAAAAGGTTGGAGTAGCTCCAGTAGAAGATAAGATTAGAGAGATTCGCCTTAGATGGTTTGGTCACATAAAACGTCGGCCTTCCAACGACCCGGTTAGGAGAGTAGAGGTATTAGATTTGACTTATGTTAAGAAAGGTAGAGGTAGACCTAAAAAGGCTTGGTTAGAAAATATTAGGAATGACCTTTCTTTATTAGATTTAAACGAGAATTTGACCTTTAATAGGACACAATGGAGAAAAAGGATTCATGTAACCAACCCCACGTAGTGGGATAAAGGCTTGATGTTTTTGTTGTTGTTGTATCCCTTGCATCCCTGGCGGACCTTTTTTCTTCGATCATCTCGCTATGAAGCACAAATGCGATCTAACAAAATTCCTATATGCAATTGCTCTTTCCATGCCTTGTCTTCTCCTCACACCCATACTCCTACTTTCTTCCTTCATCTTCATCTGCCTCCACTCCCAGGCTCACGGAGATGCGAGAGATTCTATTTCTTTTAGAAGAATTTATTGTGTCTAGTAGAATTGTTACAGTATAAAGAAAACTTTGTATATTATCTTGTGATTTGTTTGAGTTTTATGAGGATTTTTGAATTTATTATCATGAATTTTCCTCTTGGATACTTTGAAGTTTAAATTTGAATTAGTAGGATTAGATTTAAATAAGTTTTTTGGAACTCTATTTCTAGACATAAAATTTATGACTTCTATTTGGATCATTTTATTGAATGAATTAAAATTGAAGTTCCTGTTTATTGTCTTACCTCTCTTTTCTCTTCCTGCCGTTGGACTTGAGATTTATCTCCCCATGTCCTTCTGCAGACAGTTTTATATCATTAGCCTTCTTCATTCTTATTTCTCCCTTGGATACAGACCAAAGTCGCCACTTACCCAAACACTCATCTCCACTCATCATCCCCACACAGTAACACAAAGATGCAAAGGATGCTTTCTAAGGTTTTGTTTTTAACATAATCGTACATATCATCATTGGTCTCATCCTACTAATTTAGGATCGCTTAATCTTTTTCATTCATCCCACTAATTTATGTCAGCTTAATGAAACCTTTCATTTATTCTTCTTAAGTGATACATAAGGTGTAAACATTATTGTCTGTGAAACGTTTCACAACAATATTGTTGGGTTTTCAAGCATGTTAATGGAACTATGGACATGCTAGTGCAAAGAATTTGTTGGATGATATGTTCAGAAAAAAGGTTGTAGGATGATATATTTTAAATAAGGATATCTTATGATTGAAATTGATTGACATTCTAAGATGTGCAAGCAAACATAGTTGCCAACATTCCAAGATTTTATCCATTAAAAGTAGGGCTTAGAATCTCTGTTTGTTAATTGAGTTACGGATGGTCTCTGTTGCATAAATGTCGCACGGAAGTCTTGTTGATTCTAAAATAGTTTTGGTCAAACTTTTCTCAGATCTCTTTCTGATTACGCTTAGTTTGAGTTGGTTATAGGAGATGCTTTTGGATGGTAAACGTATGAACTTAAAACACTTGTCTTCGTGACTTTGCCCTTTTTTTTTCTTAAAGTAGTGTAACTTTTTTAATGCTTGTGTTTACCTCTTATATATATATATATATATATATATATGTGTGTGTGTGTGTGTGTGTGTAGAATTATAAGTGATGAACCTTATGGTTTTTTTATATATATTCTCTTATTTTATGTTTCTTCTTTCTGCAGATAGAACCCATTCGGAACTTCTTTGCTGCTCTCTTTCTTGCAAGCATTGGAATGCTAATCCATGTCCATTTCCTTTGGAATCATGTGGATATTTTACTTGCAGCTGTTATTTTAGTTATCATTATAAAGACCATTGTTGTAACTACTGTTGTGAAGGGATTTGGCTACTCAAACAAGACATCGCTACTTGTAACTTTTTTCTCCATTCACATCTTCCCTTGTATATTTAGATCTTTAAATGCTAATTGAATTATCACGTTTGTAGGTTGGCATGTCGCTGGCACAGATTGGAGAATTTGCTTTTGTTCTTCTAAGTCGGGCTTCAAATGTGCATCTCGTTGAGGTTGTTAAATAATGACAATTTTCTTTTTACTTTTTTTTTATATACAGCTAGATCATAAATTCTAGTTGAATTTTTTATTTCAACCATCTCCACACATTGCACAACAGGAATATCATGCAAAGTATGCATCACATAAATAAGGATGGTTTAGACTTTAGACCTTTGTTTTAATGTGGAAGAAGGATTATCAGCCGGTTTATCACATGCTAGGATGAGAAGTCTAAAAAAGTGATTCCACGAGTAGCTTCCCATAGTTAGCAGTCATAATCATGGCTTCTTCTGGTGGAACCATTCATTCCTGCTACAAATCTACTTGGAAGTTGACAAAATATTTTTTATTTATTTTTGAAGCATTCTATTACCTCATACAATGCTCACATTCGATTTAAGAAATAAATACATCCACCTTCAATTACAAAAAAAATTTATTGCGGCATGTAAAGAATCCTACAATATGAGCATTATGAACATGTCCAAGTATGTTTGTATATTGGTACTTTGTGCCTGGCACCCTCATTTGTTTGCAAGCAATCTAGTGTGGAGCTTAAGGCGCTGTTACTGTTTTTTGAAGTCGCTTTTTTATATTAAAAAGCAGCTTCAAGAAGTAGTAAAAAAGCTGTTCCAAATGAAGCTTAAGTAATAAATTTTCTTTAAAGCAAGCTGGTTACCGTACGTGCCAAGAGCCAATTTTACTTGCTCCACTGCAGAAATCAATATATGGATTTCATTGCGGGAGCACGAACACTGAAAGAGGCCTCTGTCTTCAAGACTCTATTTTCTTATTGATTTTGTAGTAACCTGCAATTTTATCTGTCCGAATATGTTTGCATGCAACGAGTTTCTTTTATCCATTCACCATATGAATTGTCGACATTAACCATTATTTTGGTTGCTATACAGGGGAAACTGTACCTGCTACTTCTGGGGACAACTGCTTTAAGCCTGGTATCTACACCTACACTAGAGCTCACTATCTGTATTTAAGTGTTTCCTATATACTAATCAAAACTGAATGCGTACTTAAACTTCGCATCTACAAGCTGGAAAATTAAGTTTATGAAACTCCCGTTTATTTTGCTCATCTTTCAAGATTAAACCATCACTTGTCTATTGTGGTAACTTCAATAAGCATAAATCCTCCGGCATTTCTAAGCAGGCAATTTCATCTTAATGATGTTAGTCTAAAGTAATTTATGAGGTCAAATTGCAGGTGACTACCCCATTGCTTTTCAAGATGATACCTGCTGTTATTCATCTTGGAGTTCTACTCCGTTGGTTCCCACCCGATAGTAATTCATCGGAGGTACTGTCTCAGGCTTTGTTTGGGACGGCTTTCTTACTGCTTCATAAAGCAGTTTTTTAGTTCAAATTTTTAATTTTTGAACTAGAAAGTTGCTTTAGGATGCAGTAAGAAAGCCGCCCCAAGCGAAACCCCAATTTATCAATAGACCAGCGTTGTGCAACCATATTCATTGAATTTAATCATGTTGCATTCTCCAGACGGGACACAAGGGTGAAAACCATCGCGTGGACAGTGGTAAGCGCATTACTTTGATGGTCCAAGCCTCTCATGATTCATAATAAAAGTGAAAAGTTTATGGGCGTGAAAAATCAGATTTTTTTTTTCTCCTGATGGGTTTTCTATAATTCGGATCAAGTATATAATCGAGCAAAGGAGATTTGACTGCTAAGTTATTTTCATGGGGCTATTTGAAGTTATGCAACCCCTTTGTGTTCATATCTCAATCAAAATTCTCCCGGCCGTGGCTTCATGAAGAAAAGTGTATGATTAATGGGCAAGGCAAACTCTCATTGCAGGCTTTAGGAGACGTCGTCCATGTTCCAATTTTGTGTAAAGCATCCTTCTTCAAATCTTCTTGTATCCTTGCTTCACAATCTTAATTGGGGTTTTCAGAAATGGTTCCCCAATAACAGCATTGAAATATTTGTAGATTATTCCAATTCTTTTTAATTTCAGTAGAAGTGATTCTTGTGCTGAATTGAAGCCTATATAACATGCTGGATTTATCATGCCTGAAAAGCTAGTTCATCTTAGGCTATAAATAGAACATTAACTGAGCAATGTTCATCATTGTAATTTGTTTTTGGCAATTTTCGATTGCATGTGCTTCACTGTAGAAATAAGGTGCTAGTAGAATTTCTGAATCATTGCATACCCCAAGCAGAGTTGATTTCTGAAGTTTGGCAACTCTTAGAGCGTTAACCAATGAGAAATTATTTTGTGCAGAGTTCGATCGTAGCTCTGTGTCCGAACTCTAATAAAATCATGACATCTTGATTGTACACTTGAATATTCTTTTCTTTTCGCATTTAGTTTTTTTCTTGCCGGCCCGACGAACCTGGTCCAGAAATTTCATGTTCAAATATTTGGGTTTTGGATTGACGCTCTTTTTTAAAATGAAATATCTCGAAAAGTTATGTATTTTTTAAGATTTTAGCTCAATAAAATTTTTATAGCTGCTGAGAAAAAAGAAATGGGAAAGGTTGATGAAGATTGGTTTGGCGGAAAAATTAATGAAGATGAAGATTGGTTTGCAGGCAAAACGGCATTATGGAGCACACTTGAACTTGGAATATCTTAAGGTTTATTTATTTATTTATTCAATATCTGGCTGTATGGAAATCTACTTCAGTCTAACGCCTTTAATGTGATTTGATAACATTGTTTATTGGTGGGATGATGTCTAAAAATTCGTGCTAAAATAGTGAAGGAATATCAATATGATATGGTTAAAAAAAAAAAAAAAAAGTTTGATAAATTGGCTATTTTTATAATCCAAGCTCTTTAATTGACTAGCCCTGTGAAGCGATTATATCATATTAGCTTCGTCTGGCTATCAGTCGCAAAGATTAGAGCGTTATATGGTGAATATGACATTTAATGTTGTAAGAGAAGAAACCGAAGAACAAATTATTAGCATTCGATCATTGCAGCACCATTAAGCAACAACGAGCCATTTACTAGTAGTAAATACGTTCTGATAACATTTCAAGGGAGTAAATTTATTTTGATAACATTTCAAGTGGTTGATGTGACCTAAGTATTCACAGGAGATTGGACCCCAAAAGATAGGAAATGCCACCTAAAAGGAAATTAGTGGATCAGATCTCAATCATTTGGTAGATTGAATATGTTGATGCGACAGTGAATTGGTGGCACATTTGGCCATTGCTAGAAGATGTTGGTACAATAGTTGCCACGGTTTGTTGTGCACACATTGCAGAAATGGTAAATGCCGTGGTTTGCAAAGTAAATGTGGGCCTAATGGCGGTGGGTGGTCTTATTAGGTTTCGCCGAGAGATTAGTTACGCCGTCAAGCGCTTTCTTTGAAGTGACAACGGGTAGATATTTCGTTAAAAAAAAAAAAACTTCATTCAACACAACACACAGAAATGCTCATCATCCTCGTAAAATTATCTACTGATTTTTCTGTATCAATCATGAATTGCATCCTCCAGCAAAATAATTTCTAGAAAATGTTTTGATAATTATCTAGTTTGATTTTCCTTGTATGTCGGAGGTCATAATGAATTTCATCCTTCAAAAAAATAAATTTCTAGAAAATGCCTAGATTAATATTTATATATTTTATATATTTATACATGCCTCCTCAAGTATCTCATAGGTTGATATATCATCAGAAATTTATCATGATCGGGCACGAATCTCGAAGCAAAAATAAAAATAAATCGGAGACCATATGAACTGCGATTTTAGCAAATTTACAGTCGAGCTGAACTTCTCGAAAATACAAACCCAACGACATCAAATTTGACTCAATCCGAGCCCAAATGAGTCTAAATCAAAGACCCAAAGTACATTCGGAAGGTTCAAACCATAATTTGAATTATCAAATAATTTCCAAACATTGCATCCTTATAATTGAATCGAGCAGCTCGACAAGACGAATCTAACGAGCCCAAGATCACCGAATTCTAATATCATTAAGACATTCAAATGCCCAATAAATGTTCTATGATCAAAAGGATTAAACATCGTCCGTCCATTCAAACCACTCACAATTTACCCTTGACTTTCTACTATTTATTGGTCATGCCAGTCTCAGAAAATTATAAATAGATCCCTCATTTCTCATAGAAGGGTACCCCAAAGGGGGGAAGGAGGAGGCCCAAGCAAGAAGAGAAGAGAAGGAAGCAAGGAAGATAAGGAAGAGAGTCCTCGACAACCGTTAAACTTTCACCCGACAGCCTACCGACGCTGGAGTTTTGCCCAAATTCCATCTAACGTCAGAGTTCTACCCGGCCGCCAATTAACATCGAACTTCAACCAGATGTCGTAACTCCGCTCATCACCAGAATTCCACCCAACGTCGGACTTCTACCCGACGTTGGACCTCCACTCGTCGTAAGATTTCTACCTGACGTTGGACTTTTGCATGTCATCGGACTTTCGCCGGATTTCTATCCTACACCAAACTTCCGCCCGTCGTCGAATTCTTGCCTGTCTCCAGACACCCGTCCGTCGGGCTTCTACCCGATGTCAGATTTCTGCTCGTTGCCAGACATTCATTAGACTTCTATCCGACGCTGGAATTTTGTTGATCACTCAACTTCTACCTAACGTCGTCCTTCCGACATCTGTCGTTAGACAACGATCTTTATGACCTCCGTCGCCCGCTAACTACAATCCTTCCAAATTATGTTGCTCGCTGACTACAGTCCTTCCGACATATGTCGCCCACCGACTACGGACCTTCCGACCAAGCGAACACGTCAACAGTGATTCTTTTAATTTCCATCATGTAACACACTCTGTATGATGTATATTTGTTATATCAAGCCAAGACCTTTCCTCCAATGAAGGGCCTCATTTGTAATCGACTGCAAATAATAGTGGATTCATTCAAACTAGGGCAAGCCCCATGATTTTTTCCCTTTTTAGGGGTTTTCACATAAAAATCTTAGTGTCTGTTATGAATATTGCACCCTCTCTCTTTATCTGATTGCATGCTGGATCTTCGTACAAAGCTAAGACGAATAAACTTTATATTTCTCTACCACCGCAAATACTCTAAGATGCAACATAGGTATTTAACAAGTCCTATTACTAAAAGGTGTTTTTTTATATTATTATTATTATTAATTTAACTTAGCAGGTCTTATTAAGAACTTTCGTAGTGAAGGCTTATTCAGCAATGATCATTTCCGACCATTATTTAATAATAGTGAAGGGATTTGACCCAACTCAACAAAAAAGGTTTGAGGAAGGCCGCCTCTAAGGGAGATCATTGGGGTCCATGCAAGACTCCCCAAACTTGAACAGCTCATCCCGGTAGTAGGAAGTGCCCTCTCGAAATGCTTTGCCAAAAGGGGGGAGGTTGAATTGAAAAATTAAAATTTTTTCTTTAAAATAAGATATTGTGTAGAAGCGATTAAAGTTTTAACATAAAATGTTTAAAATATATATATTATTTTTGTGTTTTTATATTTATGCAAAAGCTCAACTAAAAGTTTAACATACAAAATTGTTACAAAGATATACAATATAAAACCAAAAGCAAGAAAATAAAAGTGTTGGAAATTGTAAATAATGCACACGAGAGATTTTTATAGTAGTTTGGTCACCAGACCTTCATCCACTCCTCAAAATCCTCATTCTTGGGAATTTTTCTAATGCTCAGTTAGGTGGAGAAGCCTTTCTCCCTTCCCAGGGGAAGAATGACCCTTATACAATTTTTCTATCCAGGAAAGCCTCCCTCCTTTTCTCCTAGCACGAAGAAGATGCCAATCCCCCTTCTGCTCCTTGTAACGGTGGAGATGTCTCTCCCTCTTTCTGCTCCTCACAATGGTAGAGATGCCACTCTTTCTTTCTTCTCCTCGTAATGACGAAGATGATGCACCACTAGCCTTCCCCGACTTGTTGCAAGTCTTCATCTAAGACTTCTACAAAGACCCTTCGAAAAACACTCAACACAAACTCTACAGTTCAAGTGCAAATTGACAAGACTGTTTGAATCCTCTTACACAATCCTTGAACACCTTCAAAGATTCTCTCAAACTCGCCCTCACTCCCAATGAATTTTCTCAAGCTTTTTCCAAGGAAGAGACATCCCCTCTCTCCCCAAGGATTCTCTTAGAACAAACTTGTTAAGATTCACTTTGTTCTTATTTGATTAAGTGAATTAAGTTAGGCTATTTTAATGAAATCCCTAACTTTCAATTATGTCTTATGGATCGTACAATACAAAGTATGGATCATATTGTTTGATTAGTTAAACACATTTTTTGAGTTCTATTAGATTAGATTAGATTGTATGATATGAATTGTATAGTAAAAAGAGAAAAGAGATTTTTTCGCTCTGCTAGGGTTTCCTTCCCCTGCAGAGCCTCTTCTTTTCCGCCGCCCCTCCGGCTTGGCCGGAGGCTTCTCTCTATGGATTCGACTCTGCATGCAGCGGATTTTCCGCCTCTCTGCTCAGCGACTGTTGCTCCTCCCGTCTCTATGCGGAACTAGAGTCAGATCTTTGCTCCCAACACGTCTTCATCTGCCCCTAAAGTTTTTAGTTTTTCGCATCACCCTAATGAACCGGATGTTATTCCTTTTTCCGGTGAGAAGCTTGCTCAAGGAAGTGATGACTGGAGTTTGTGTTTGGTTGGATACTCTATAGGACGCAGACCCTTCTATGAAGCGCTTTTGAATGCATTAAACAAAACGTGGACTTTGAAAGGTTCTCTCAAACTTCTTTCGCTCAGCGATGGTTTTTTTCTTCTGCGATTTTCTTGTGTTGAAGACTACGACATGGCCTGGTCTAAAGGTGTTTTGTTCCTGCTTGGAAAACCCTTTGTGCTCCAGAAATGGCATCCTAAGTTCAAACCGAAGAGGGAAAAATTCTCTTCGGTTCCGATTTGGGTCAAAATACACGACCTTCCCCTGGCTTGCTGGAACTCTGAGGGCATATCGAGGATAGCTAGTAAGATTGGAGTTCCCCTGGCTGCAGATCACCTAATCGAACAAAAGACAAGACTGACATATGCTCGTATCTGTGTTCTGGTTGATTGTAATGCCACATATCCAGAGGAAATCAAGGTTTCGCTGGATTTTGATGAGGTAGGGCTTAAGGTTCAATACGAATGGAGGCCTTCTCCTTGTGACCACTGTAAGTCTTTGGTACACTACTCCTCTTCTTGTCCGTTGAATCCTTCTCCTACAAATAATGATCAAGGGAAATCTCTGTCTAATCCTCGTGGAAGAAGCTTCAGCAAAAAACCGGTTAACAGGTTTCATTCTCGCCCTCCTTCCAGACCTCCTCGGTCTGAGCCTAAACCTACTGAAGTCTCTACTTCAACCCCTGCTGCTGCTGCTTCTGTACCTATATTACCTTTGCATACCAATTCCATTGGGAAGCCTTTAAATTATCAACCTCATTCTCCTCCCCCCACCTCTAAAACGCCTTCCTCTCGGACTGCTCCCAGCAAGGAAGATCCCCCGACCCCTTTTGTGAATCCGGTAGTGGTTGATGTTTCGGTAGACAACAATGTGGTTAATATCCCAAATTTAAACATTCCCACTGCAGAACTCTCTGCTTCCTCTACCTCGCTTTTGGTTTCGCCTCAGAAATCATCGAATGATATTAATTCTCCCAATAAATTCGAAATTCTCAGTTCTCAAACTGATATTGATATAAATGAACATATGGCCTCCTCTTCTGATATTGTTGGGAATGCTCTCAAGCAGCCAGGAAAGGGGAAAAAACAAGCTACGTCAGATATCTCTAAGAAATCTACTAAGGGAAAGCAGAGTAAAAAATCCCAATCCCTTCATATTTCTTGATGTTTATCCCAACCATTGGTTCGTGGAATGTTCGGGGTTTTAATCACGCTGAGAAAGTTCTCAGCTGCAAACGTCTAATTAAATCTTTTAAGCTTGACATGCTTTGTCTTTTGGAGACTCGGATTCATTCCCCTTCTCTTGATGATCCTTTTTTCGAAATTTCTCATTCTCTCTTCCCTAATGAGGAGAGCTGTCATAATTTTCACCTGACTTCTTCTGGTAGAATTTGGATTAAATGGGACTCTAGTAAACTCTATTTTACTCCTAATGTCATCACGGAGCAAATGATTAATGGGAATGTTTGATAGGCAACAGTTTCTTGTTTCAGTTGACTATTGTTTATGCAGCAAATAACGCTTTTGACAGAAAGGCTCTTTGGCTTTCGATTGGGTCGGCTGCCCCTCCGTCCAATATCCCCTGGTCTCTGTTAGGGGATTTTAACTGCTGTAGATTTGGCACGGAAAAATCTGGAGGTTCTCCCCTTCATCATTCTAATTTGGTAGATATAAATTCTATGATTTTTGATAATGGTTTGTTGGATCTGCAATCGGTTGGTAGTTTTTATACTTGGTATAAC